GTTGTAGTTTTGCTTGTGTTTGCCTGTGTGAAATCTGCTTTTCATGCTCCATGGCCTTTGACCAGTCACTCTTGCCAGTATGGCTTTCAGCATGGTAGTCCAGTCTTCTAAATATGGAATATTTGCTTTTTTCAGGAAGAGGAGCAGGACTGAGAAAGGTGATTTGGTCCATTCTTTTCTCACTGAGCTTCTTGACAGTCACCAACCAATATCTGTTTATTTTCCTGTAGAGAAAAATGACAACTGTTGTGGAGAAAAGACTGGAGCAAGTTGCATGTGTTTGTGAACATTTGAAATTTATTTGGTAAGCAAAGGAATTCTGGTGAGAGAACTTGTCTTCCAGATGCAGAAAAATAAAAGATTTTGTAGGAACAGTAGAAATTAGGAGGTACAATGTGTTTCAGTTCTGCACTTTTTGCTATCAGGGTGTTTGCAAGATGCTGCCCACCAATCCCATTGAAACACCACTGCTGTTCAGTCAAACCACCCGGAGCTCCCTGTGGCTCCTGGGCTTTCCCCTTGAAGTCAAAGAGGTAATTGGTGCCTGCTGGTGGCAAGATTTGTGTTATTCAGCTGGGCAGCCTAGAAGCAGCTGCTGCAGTAAATCTTGCAGCTCTTGTGTTAACTGACACCCACCAGCCCTGCAGGCAGTGCCAAGGCGGGGGCTGTTTCTGGAAGTGCCACTGGTTTTCTGCCGTTTGTTTCCAGGGGTGTGCAGGTACTGTGAGGAGTCCCCTTGAGCTGGAAAGGAAGGAAGCTATTCTTTGAGTTAAAAGGTTTAAATTTAATCAAGGCAATGGAGAATCAAATTTCAGTCTTTCATTGCTTGTAATAGAAAAATCCATGTGCATTGATAGTTTTCCCCAGTCAAGTATTCCTTGTTTGTAGGGCTGCCTGTCAGATTGAGATGGGTACCACTGGTTTGAAAATGAAAAACCTCCAGTTTTCATATAAAGGTCAGGTCAGATATGTGTGGTGCATCCCCACCTTTTGCAGTAGATCACATGTAAAACTAAGTAAAGCCCCATTTAAATGACAACATAATTCTTGGGCTACGTTAGCTCTTTCCTAAAAAAAAATCCTAATAAATAATTAGGGTGGTAATGTTTGACCATTATTTTTTTAGTATTACTTTTTTCTGTTGCTATTATAACAGAAATGATCCTTTCAAAGACAACTAAAATGCTAATGATAGCTAAGAAGGTCATTCCTAGGAGGTTAAACTGGTTTAATTAGAATTTATGAAAAGGTTACTATAAGAGTGCAGAAAGATGTTAAGGGGTTAACCTATAAGAGATTACATTGTAGTCAGTGTTCTGTTAAAGTTTGAATTAATTTTTCCCATGGGTTTTTCACATTCTAATTTTCAACTAAATGAGACATCTGTTTCAGAAAAGGAAAATTTGCTATGGTTGTCATAGCAACTATCATTCTGTAAGAAAATTATTCCAATGGTTACTTTAGAACAGAAAGATAGAAATTCAGTACATAAAGCAACATCCGATTTCTAGCACAAACTCTGATAATTCAGCCCTTTTTGTGTGGTAGATTATTTGGCCTGCAAAACTTGTTCAAATATTTTAAACATAAGGTTAATTGTGCTGTAAACAAATTCACCTCTGATATATTTTCCCCCTTGAATCTTACATGTAGACAATCATTATTCTTATCAAAATAATAAACCAGCTGAATTTCAGTAGGGTGTTGAAGACACTCAAACTGTTCACTTGAAAAAAGTAAGACCTAAATCAAAGTACATTTCTACAGATGAGTGCTTCACTTCAAAGGTGAAATACATTAATGATGTATGTCTTTAATTGCCAAATAAATTTTCCTTCGGTTGGTTTATTTTTTTGTGACGATAGTAGATTTTTCTCTTGTAGAACATACATGACAAACATACATTACATTCTTTGTCAAATGTAATCGTATTGAAAAATATATTATAAAAATAATTTCACTTTTCCTGAGTAAGCACTAACTGCAAATACAGAAATTCTGTACTTGATATAAATAATTTAGCTTTGTTTTCAGGTTCTATCATAAATGCAAATTTTAGACAAAGTTGTCTTTGCACGATATCCAGGTGATGGGTTCATTAATGGGTATTAGAGAAGGCTTTTTCCCTACTCAGAAACTTTTATAGCTGTTTTGTAATAAATTTTCAGAAGAAGGGGCTTGAGGATTTATAAAATCCCTATGTGCTTATAATGGTATTTGCTTTGGGGGTGGGGGCACTGAAGTGTGTGATTTGTCTTTCTTCTCTCCAATGTAAAGCATGCCAACATCCTCCGCTGAATCCTTTCTTGGACCTGGGGTATTTTTTCTTTTTTTTTGCCAGAAATATTCCAGACATTTCCTTCCATCTCAGGATTGTCACAAAAGACAGCATAATGGCAAATCACACAAGTTGTAACATCTCCCCTTCACAAAAGAACAGCTCCAGCATGCATAACTTACCAGCCCCACTGCCGTCACCACAAAAGGAGAAAGGGAGGGAGGAATGGGGGAAAGTGCTTCTTGTCTTAATAAGCAGATCATGCCTATTCATAAGGAGAAATGGGCTTTTTTAGAAGGTGGCTGTGTGTAGTCCAGCCCTGGTAGAGGCAGGCAGAAGCTCTCACAGCTGCCTATGTGGTTTGTGGTCATCTGGATTTCAGCAAGATTAAGCTGACTTCTGATGAGACCTGTGGCAATCATGAATATTATTAGGGTGGTAATATGTTTGACCATTATTTTTAAAAATGCTTCGTTGTAGTCTGAAAATAATTATTTTGTAAGTTTTTGACCTGTGCTGCTTGGGCAAACACTGATCTTTCCCCTTGGTTTCTTTTCTGTGTCTGGCATACCTATGGGACAGTGCTTCCCCTTGCTTCCCATCGGAGACCTAAGGACAATCCTGTCCCTGCCCACCCCAGGCATATCCATTGAAACTGTCAGTGACTTAAAACATATGATTTACTGTGCTGACACTTCTTTCACCACCTATTTGCCCTTGCAAATATTTTGTCAGTGAGATCTTGCTGCTGGAAAACGTGCCCTGGGCCTACAGACAATTTGCCCAACAGTTGTGTATTTTCATCTTGGTGAAGAAGAATACTTGGCATGTTGGGTGTGGAATGCAATCCCAAGGCAGGAAAGGATGAAGGGTTTAGAAAAAGGCTAACCACTGTATATTTTTATGAAGCCTCCCACTTCTGTAATATCCAAGAGCCTCACAAACTTCAGGATTTTTATTTTTGAGGCATTCCTTTGTGGTAAAAAGAATTTCTTTATCTCAGTGGTGAGCTGAATGTAAGGAGGGGCAGATCCAGCTCCACAGAGCTTGTGTGGTTGCTGTGTGGCAATGTCACATGGTAACATTGCTGGTACCTTGCTGCAAAATAAGCCAGTTAGGAGAATCCCATGATTGTTTAGGAAAAGACTTCTGAGATTATTGAGTTCAGCCATAAACCTGATGCCACTAAACCATGTCCCCAAGTACCACATTGGCGCATCTTTTAAGTGCTTCCAGGCATGGTGACTTAGCCACTTGACCTACCAGGGAAGAATTTTTCCCAATATCCAATCTAAACCTCCGCTGGTGCAACTTTAGGCCATTTCTTCTTGTCCTATTTATTGTTACCTGGGAGAAGAGACCCAATTCCCACCTTTCTAAAACCTCCTTTCAGGAAACTTCGGAGAGATAAGGTCTCCTCTGAGCCTCTCTCTAGATCTTGGCAGCAGGAAAGTGAGGAAAGGCTGCTTGGAATGCTGAAGAGGTAACCAGAAAAGTGTGAGTTTGTGGCCTGATGTAGGGATGTGTCTTTTTCTTAGTCAGCTGCCTTGGCCTGAGCAGTGTTACTCAGAATAAGATTTGTGGTTCACTGCTAGTGCTGTTGGCATTTCTCCTTCACACACCTTCTTCACCTCCTTCATCACAGCTTCTGGAGGCTGGGACATATATTTTTGGTCCCAATAGCAGATGTTTGAACTTTCACCTTTTATTTTTTTCCCCTGGGACACCTGTTTCTCAAGACCCTGTTTGTCCAGGGCATGTGATAAAGAGGCAGGGGATGAGAAAGAAAGCCTTTCAGCCATCAGTAGATGAGCCTCTTTTTGTCTGTGAAAGAAAAACCTTTTGTTCATTGTTCTTCAAATACGAGTATGGCCACAGGATATCAGTGAAGAAATTATTAAAACTTCCAGCCTAAAACTAACCCCTAAATTTTATAACCTAGAACTGGAGCCTAGTCAGCAAGACATAACTTAACACTGTGATATAATTGCTGTGAAATATAGTTTTTTTAATCAATGGGATAGCAAGATACCGATAAATTATGTTCTGACTGGCAGTGTTACAATCCTGCTGCTCCATGATGAGCTGCTCCATGAGCACATTTTAAAAAATGTAAATGCCTGTCTGATAAGGAGTCCCGAATATGGAAAGTCTTACTTAAAAGCAAGTCAACACAGTAGAGAACAGAAGAAATTTGTGTGTAAGAGAAGCAGCAGCATTCTTGTTCTGATGGGATGTATCCAATTAGGGAAACAAAGTAGCAGAGATGTGATGTCTCTGACTTTGGAGCAGGATCTGTCATGATGCCAGGGTCTGTCCTTGCCCAGCTGGTCATAGGCTAAGGTCCAAACATGCTGAGAGCCAATGTGAAACATAAATCACGTGGAGGTGTCTGAGACAGCTGTTCTTCTAAATGTTGTGAGAGTTAGCATGATAATCCACACATGGAGATCTTGGTATCCAGGGCTTATAAGTAGTTGGAGTAATACTGTGAATATTTTACTCTGTGCTGTCTACTGAAAGCAGGGAGCACTGCTCGTTTTTGCCGTAGTTAAACTACACTGCTTGTATGGAAAGAGGGGATTATTGTGCACACAAAGAAGAAAATGAATGCTGTTTGTGTCTTCAAATTCCATGGTAGTAAAGAGTCAACCTCCGTATTTTAATTAGATAACCAGTACATGGAAGTAGCACTGAAGACATTCTCCTCCTCTCTTGGCAGGCAACCTTGGTTTTATGGCTGGGGCTTTAATCTTCCACGAGGCCAAGCACTATTAGAGAAATGGAACCTTATTCCAGATGGAATAGATATTCTTATAACACATGGACCACCTCTCGGTAAGAAAATAATAGTATCTTAGCTATATATTTCAGATGATTATATGGTAACTGATGGCTCTGCTTAGGAAAAGAGTGCAATCCTGACTTACAAAAGTCAAAAGCAACATGCATACTGACTTCAGCAGCACCAGAACTTCAGCTCAGGATTACCTGTGACATCTCTGCTCAATGGCAGCGAATTAGATAATGGCTTTAAAAATAAAATGTTAACACATAAAGCCATAATGAGCTTTACAAATATGCAGAGTCTAGTTTTCCTATGCACATCTCTAATCTGCCACTGGTGAAATTACTAGATTGAGAGCATGGAGCCTGTTTGAAGAGAAATGCAGGATTAGGATTTTTTTTTTTATCACTTTCTCTCTGACTTGCTACTGCATTCTCCCACCAACAAGTACCCAGAATCTCTTTTTTCCCTCATCATGCTGACTTGGTGCACCTTCTGCCTCACAAATCCAGATGCTCCCCATTTGCCTGTTCTTTGGACAGGATGGTTGAATTGCTTGTCTGTAATACAATTTGGCAACATGAACAGATCAAAAACAAATAGTTGTGCATTTTCTGTTATTATTAGTATAGATTATATAAAAGCTATGTATCTAAAAGAGATTTATTGTATTCCTAGAAAATTTTGACATTACCTTTGCTACAGAAATAATACAATCACACAAACTTGTCCAGATTCAGTAAAGGCTTAAGGCTTTTAAGCTTTTTTAAAACATATTTAACATATAACAGTCTATATTTAATGTGACTGTGTGTTTGACTCTTACTAATTTAATAAATGGACATGAACAAGAAGCATGTACTTCTTGTGTTCTGATGAGCCTTACTGTGTTTTGTGTGAAAAGAAGGCAGTTAGTTGCTTTAAACCTTTAGATTCCCCAATTTCCTGAAGCTAAAACCTTCATCTTCCACCCTTTCTTCTCTTTCAGAGCTTGGAGGAGAAAGTATCTCAAGGGTTTGTGTTTTGTTTTCTTTAGAAAGACATGTTTGCATTCCACTGCTCACTAATCCTGGGGGAAAGTAGTTCTTTGTGGGCAGAGTTTCTCACAGTTAGGGGTGTGTGTTTTGATTCTTCACCTAAGTGGAGGCTCATGCCATGCCATGGACTGATTTTAATATGAGCCTGCATTGTAAAAATGGATGTCAGAAAATAAGTGTTTCAGCCCCCAGATATCAGCTCCAAGCGATTGGTATGGGGGTAATCCCTGCTAGGGTCCAAGGCACAATGGTGTGTCTTTCATGTAGTTTTATTTATAAATCATATTTAAAACTTTTTCAGAAGCTTTTTCAGCACTTTGAAAACCTCTTTTAAAGTCAGATGACCAGCTGTAAAACAATCCAACCTTCAACTGACTGAAGATTCATTTGATATCTTATGTTGGAAAGTGGAGAGATTCAACCACCTTGCTGCTTTAGCCACCAGGCCTCTCCAGTAGCCTCAGGCATCAGCAGAAGGAAAAGGACTCCTAAAGAGCACTGCAGAGCTGGCACTCAACAGACAGACTTTAATAATAAATGTAATAGTAAATTTAATAATTGAAAAGTAAATTAATAATTGCAATAATTCTGAGGAAGTGCCACCCCCCTCCAGTGATTGTAATGGAGTAATGTGAATTCCCCCCATCTCCATGGCTCAGTATGTATTTGTGGGGTTTTTTTTCTTTTAATTGTAAATGTCTTCAATCATCCCCCAAGAATTTCCTCTTTTTTTTTTAGAAGTTCCTGTTTCTTTGTCTCTCTCTTATTGATGCATTAATAGATGGCTCAAGCACAGAACCCTCTGCCAGAGGGCAGGAGCTCTTGGTCTTCCTGACACCCATGGCAACAAATATATGACACTTCAAAGAACTTGGCACTCTGCTTAACTTACAGAACCACCTCATTGTGCAGCTCTGTCCACAGATCCTTTGGGAGACAGGATCCTTCTAACCCCCCCAGCCAATTATTTTAACCAGAAAGCTGATTCCTGTTGTTCTGATCTTGGAGCTCAGACCTCACTAGAGTTGTTCCTAACGACCATAAACAGCAATCAGTTGCAGCAATCTCTGCAAACTCTGGGGTTTTTTTCTCCAGCATGGCTTCCTAAATTCATCCCATCATCCATTTTCTGTGCTGCTCTCTGATTCCCTCAATTCAAGAGTGTGTATCTTCCTGAATTAAATGATACAACATTGTTACATAGATTTGAAATGGTCAGATTTAGATGCAGAAACACTACAAAGAGTTAATGAATTTTTTTTTTTCATTTAGCCATGTAACAAAAATCCAAGTAATTTTTCTCTTCTGGTTTAGAGTAGGGCTTTGGGATGAAATTAGGGCAGGCATAGATGGGAGGTTCATACAGAATGGGAACAAAAAGAGGTTAAAACAGCTATTTTGGACCATTTTATTAGGTACATGTTTATTATTATTAACAAAGATATGCAATGTATTTCATAGCTTATGAAATACAGGATTTGTGATTATGGGATCAGTGTTCATGCTCATTTCCATATCAGCATATTTTTGTTTCCTAAAGATCTCCATTTATGATTATTTTATTTCTCTTCCAAAAGTTCACATTCTTTTCTTTGTTTTTAATTTAATTTCACCTTTAAGTCTTCATTTGCTGCTGTCTGCTTGATAGTCTGTGACAAAGATTTATACTTTCCTGACAGCTGCAGAAACCTGTTTCAAGTAACCAAACATTAAAAAAACTCTAAGATGAACTCTAATTGTTAGCTAGGTGTAATCAATTATTCTTAGTCTGTGTAGTCAGGTGTACATAATAAGCTACAAACATATGGGGAGGCTTCAGAAGGGTGATAATGCATGTAAACAAAAACATGTTCAACATAAATAATGCTTAATTTAATGGAGAAGTTAATTTTATGGATTTTTGTTTGTGAAGTTTTTGAAGTGGAAATACTTTTGGCTTTATGTTCACTTCAGACATTTTGACAATTAACTGTTTCAAATCATTGGAGTAATAAAACCTATGGCTATAATATGTTTACTCTGAAAAAAAACCCCAAACATGACTTTATTCCAGAGGAATTGCTGGCCTTACTTTGACATCATAAGTACTGGTTTTTTTCTGGTGAATTTTGACCTCCCTTCAATGGCACATGTGTATTCAGCAGGAGTGAGCATTGCTCAGCCTGGCTGTAGTTCAGCAGGACTTTCTTTTTCCACTTTCCCTGACAGGTGCAAATCAGCAAACAGCACCTTCAGGTCTTTGACCATGATCAGAACTTCCTCTTTTTGGCACTTAGGATGCCTCATTCCCAGCTTTTTTTTTTTCCTGAAAATTGAACTTAGCTCTCTGAGTAGTTATGAAACAAGTGCAAGCTTTTGCCATTTTGCTAAAACCTCACGGTTTACTGAGCCCAGTTTTCAAGCACTGCCAGCTAAAGAGGTATTTCTCAATATGTGAACCTACCCTGAAGCTCTAGCAAATCTGAGAGCTTTTCCAAGAGCTTGAATACCACACTTCTGGTCTTTTAAACCAGTTGGTTGGCTTAGCCATGCTTGAGTGGACATCAAAAGTAAATGTATGAAAACCAGGTCCAGGCTCTGTACCTCTGGCTAAAAGCACAATATATTCACACTACTGCAGAAAATCCAAGAGATGCAAAGCTATGACAGGCTTGCAGGGAAAATGTCAGAACAACAAAATAAAACCAGGAAGATTTTATCTTCTAGGTTTCCAAATCTGAGCCTGATGAAAATGACTGAACAATAGAGAGAAAACAGATTGATTGGTGCAAACACTCCAATACAACATCTACCTTATACTACTACTTGGAAAGAAACATGGACTTCAGTTGGCAGTAAACTTCCCCCTGCAGTATTTTTAGACAAAGAGGCAAGTTGATGTAACATTTCTGTCTATTTTCATAAGAAATACATTTTTACACAATTTTTGTGCAAGTAAATGCAGCACTTAAATACATCTTCTGCAAAAGGCCTGAGTTTCTCTTCCTGTCTGAGATCCATCAGTTTGGGGAAGTGGGGCTTGCTGTGCCATGAAGTGGTTTAACTCAAGGATGTCACTTTTTGGGCATGTAGTGGATTCCTCACCTGAGCTCTGCTACTGTAGGATTCAATGTGGTAACAATAGAGTTATAGTATTGGCAGCAAAGGTTCCATTATGTTGGTCCCAGTGTTCAATCTAAAAAAGTAAGTCCCAGGACTGGTCTTAAATAGTTAAATGTTCTTTTAAATTCTTTAGAGGCTCCCTTTGGATTTACTGCACTTTACACTTCATTCTCTTCAGGAAGAAAAAGGGGTAAAGCATTGAGTTATCCCATTAACAACAGTGCAAAAAAATGATTTGATTGTAATTATTTTTATTCTTCGAAAAAAACTGGAAAGAGTTATCACAGTCCTTTTTATCCAGATGAGCTTTTATGGTTTTCCACCAGTATATTTCTTTCCTTTTCTGCATACAAAGGCGGACACAGTTTTTGCCATTACAGTTCTTCTGTGGCTGTTTGTAAAAAGCCATGAGACATGAAATCTCAAAAATGCACAGCTGTGTGGATTACCTGTCTTCTCTTAAAGCTTTCATTTCTTTTCCAAAGGATTTCTAGACTGGGTTCCTAAGAAAATGCAACGAGTAGGATGTGTTGAACTGCTGAACACAGTCCAGAGACGAATACAGCCAAGACTTCATGTTTTTGGACATATCCATGAAGGTCAGAGCACATTTCTTTTTATATATGTATGTTTTTAGAAATGGCAAACAGAGAAGTCTTAACCAGCGTGTTCAAATTTGAATGTCTGAACTGAAGCACTTCTTGAATTCAGATACGTATTTAGCTGCATATGTAGAGGTGAGATTGGCTGATATCCACATGTCAATACTTGTACTTGAGTTTATCTTTCATTTTATACATTTATAAAACAGCATCATGTTTCTTCTTTCACAGGGTTGATTACTGTAAATTTTAAAATAAGAACACAAGTCCAGTAGTTACAAAAGTGACTAAATATTAGGATGGAGGGATTTTTTTTTCCTCAGCAGAATCTGTGCTTCACAATAATTCATGTAAGATCTCTGTGTGTCAACTTCTGTGCTTGTAAAACGGGTAGGAATGTTTTGAGGGGTTCTTCTAAGGCTTGATCTTCAAGATTGTACAATAACCGTTGTCTCTCCCCATCAGAATGTATATGAAGCTGAAGTCAAGAGGGGTATCACCACTGATTGGTGTAGAAATTCCAAGATACTTATGGATGCATTTGGTTGCTTTGACAGGGGAAACATTTTGTGCTCAGACAAAACAAGTGGTTCTATTGACTATTTGATATTTAACTGGAAAAAAAAAAAAAAGAGTTCCCTTTGTACAAGCCAAGTAAATGGTGACAGATATGCTGTGCTGAAGTCAGTGACAGCAGGAGTTCATCTCCAGGCAAAGGGAAAGGTAGATGCTGCCTGTCCTGTTCACAAAGCAAGGCAGCAAGACTTCAAGCAGTGCAGCCACCCCAGGCAGAAAGCAGTGGGCTGTGCAGGAGTGAACCATTGGCATGTACGTGTGCATTATCAGCTGATCCATCTTTGGCAGTGTTAACTTACTGGCAAGAAAATGTACTCCTCAGCTGCCAGTTTTCTGCTTCTGGGACTGCTCCAGCCTTTGCTGTAGGATCTCTGTGAGTCTCAGCAGTGCAGAGATGGAAAAACTGGAGGAGCTGGCATTCAGATACTTCTGGTTTTATGAAGAACCCTTCTTAAGATATCCCTCTCTCACTTGATGCTGGAGGTTTTCACCACAGGACATTAGAAGTGACATGGCTGATGGTGTAAAATTAATGGATAAGATATTCAGATCATTATTTTATAGCTCAAGGATTAGGTTAATTCTCCTCGTATGTCTCATCTGCAGTGACCTGTTAATGCCTGGTTAACGTCCAAAGTGCTGTTAAATCACAAAGTAAACAAATAATGCTGTTAGAGCAGTCTTTGATATTCCAACCAAGAGAGCTGGTGAATACAGTTCAAACTCATTGTAATTTCTGAAATTATAAGCCAAGAGGGTTGCAGGGGATATAAGCAAACAGCAAGCCTTGAAGCTTC